TATATATATATATATATATATATATATATAAAAGATTGGCTACCAGATGACACCATACGGTAAGATGATATGCTACGGTCACATGACGCAATGCTCACCACTGTCGGTGGTAAAGCTCACTCACATGAACTACAAAGCTCACGAGAATGTATGGAAAAACTCGCCAATACTCTTCCCTCTTTGAACTTTTTCTTTGAAAAAAGTCAAAGGAGGAGGTGCTGATGAATTTGACCCATGTTGACCGTTGACCGCCACCTTGACCAACCACGCTGTTGCTGCCATCGGTAGCCATCGCCGTCGGTCGATTGTGGTCCAAGTCACCCTCTGATATTTTAAAATTTTTAACGTAAAAATTTGGTGAGGTTTTTTGTGTATGTTCGGTGAGCTTTGCATTGAAGAATGATGAATTTTTTTGTTAGGGTTTGTGAGGATTGAAACTTTAAAAATTTAAAAATTCAAAGTGTGAAAAATTGATGGTGAACTTTTCCATACAATTTGTTGAGCTTCGCAGTTATTTTTTATGAGCTTTGTAGTGATCAGTGGTGAGCTTTGAATTACCTCACTACATAAGCATGTCATCTTACCATAAGTGTAAATGCATTTTAACTCCTATTTCGGAAATAAAAATTTGAAACTTTTATTTTTATATATTTTCAATGTTTTACTCAGCTCCTAGTTTGTTTTTTCCCTTATTTAATTTTTTTGAATGATCAATAATCAGATAATAATTGAAGAAAAAGTTATTCAATTTTACACGATAGAGCTAATTTATTTACTTCATAACTCACTATATTTTTTATAAGTTGGAATTATTTTTCTTAAGTGACTATACTATTACTATTTTTAAAAAAGGTAATGCAAACTTGTGAATATTTTTGGATAACTTTATATAAATGTTATTTACAAAACAACATTACTAAAGTTGTGAAAATAACATAATAATTTTTTCTCTGAAATGCAACTTTTATTTTTATAACTCAGTACATTTTTTTATGTTACAATTTTTTCATGAGCAACACTCCAAAATGTTTATCGGTAATCTTCTATTACCTGTATTATTTTTTCTAATATGGAACAATCCAATATGTCAATCGGTAATCTTCTATTACTCGATAATTCATTACAAATATTTTCCCCAAAATAATAATTCAAAAGTTGTGAAAATGACACAGATTTTTTCTCCAAAACGATACTAATTAATTTTATAACTTACTACAATTTTTTTGTATTGCAATTTCTTTCTCGAGCGATACTCTAAATTAATTTTCGATAATCCAATTTTATATTTCCCTCTTACATAAAACAAAATTTGTAAATTGTTATTTTTTAAAAATTGAGACAAATCTCTAACAAGAGTGTACTGTTATATTTTTTTAAAACAAATTTTAAAATTAAATTTAAAAAAAAGTATATTTGCCTAAAATAATCTCACATTTCATTTATTTGTGAAAATAAGCATTTTTAAAAATTCTATTAAGTGACCTTTAGCTATTTAATGGCAACCCAAAACTCGCACACATATAAAAAAGTGAGATTATTTCTAATTATAGTGAAAAGTGAGATTTTATTTGAAAAAACATGAAAAATAGAATTTTTTTAAGATAATTTTTCTTAAAAGTTACGGGAAAGTTTTCATGACATTAAGTCCAACTCAATGTCATGATATGACCTAGGCTTCAAATGGGAACCTAACGGAGCGAGGTTTGTTTGAAAACTAAACAATTTCTACCTCATTTAATTTTGAGAAAACTCCTCATCTTGGTTCGACTCAAACAGACCTCTCACCTTTCAATTACGGAAGTTATACGTACCTCAACATTTATACCCCAATTTGTACCCCGCAAGTTTGCACCAACATTTTGTATTAGTGTAAAACTAATTTTTATTAACGCACCAACACTTTATGTTCGTGTAAATTTTTATTAACGCACCAACACTTGTATCAATATAAATTATCAAAATGTTTATGTATAACTGTGGTGTACAAATGGTATACGTTTTTTTTGTGTAAGTGTACATCTCCAATTTGAGTTGACTTTAAATTAGAGTGAATCAAGGCCGGGTGGTTTTCAACTGTACGTGCAAGTTGGTTAATTGCAACGTGGTTTGGACGACCGAGCATTAGTCATTGGTCTAAGTTTTGCTTCCCAATTCACCAGAGAGTATGGGTACTAGGTGGGGCCATGGCCATTAAACCATGCATGTGACTATGTGAGTATACCTATGCACAAAGCTAGTACGAACATGGTACTATTCATTGCTAGCTAGGCTAGCTTAATTAATTTATTATATATAGCTCGTTTTTAGCCCTGCATCTCTTCATCAATAACAAAGAAGAGAATTCAAGAAAGTCGAGAGCTTACTCATACAACTCTCACTCACTTTCCATTTCCCATCAATGTCTATCCAATACTACACCATATGGCTTCTTCCAAGAGCTTGATCTATTTCTTGTTCATTGTTCATTTGTTCTTGTTCTATCCCTACCACAACCCATTGTCTCCTCCAAGCTCCATATTCTGGAAAGTTTCAAAGCTAAAGGTGCAGTTACCTTGATTGCATTGCATCCGCATACTATTTGGCGTTGCCAAAGACAACTATAAGAAAAGGAACTGCCTAGTCTACCACCAAAAATGAGGATGGTGTTAGGACAACACTATATACCCAGAGTATCAATTAGAAGACAAGGCTATTGAGAAATTTATTAGTCAGGCTAAAGGTGACCTTGTTCTTCCGTCCCAATGAAACCTATGGTATTTAAAAACTTTTTTGTCTCCCGCTCGAGTGAGACTTATTTCTACAGGTGGAATCGAGTGATAGTTTATATTGCGACAGGGGATCATTTCAATCTGGGTTTCTCGGTGTCACAGACAAACAATTCTCCTCGCAGTATCTAACTATCACTCGATTCCACCTATAGAAATAAGTCTCATTGAGGCAAGAGCCAAAAAAAAGCTTTTGAAGACCATAGGCTTCATTGAGGCTGTTGAAATATTAGAATAATAATATTGCTCTTTTGAATTATGGGGTACATGATAGAGTATATATAGAAGAGACTCCTAATACAACTAGGAATAGAGAATAGAGACTAACTAAAATACAACTTCTACCATAACTAGGAATACTTAATATTATTGTCTAACATCCCCCCTCAAGCTGAACTCTGGCTGAAGCAAGAGGAAGCTTGGACACTAGCTGGAAACTGGAAACTTCGAGAAGAGAGAAATCTGACGTACGCCGGTGGCTGCTGCCGTCGTTGGAGAAGAGAGAAGTCTGACGTGCGCTGGGAGCTGCTAACGTCGTTGGAGAAGAGAGAAATTGACGTGCGCTAGTAGCTGCTGACGTCGATGAAGAAGAGAGAAGGTTGACGTGCGCTTGTAGCTGCTGACGTCGAAGAATAATAGAGAAGGCTACTGGAGGTGCCTGTTTGATTGAAGATTCTTGACATTTTTTGTCTTTTTCTTGGATCGGGCAATGCCCTATTTCCTTCTTGAAGGGGTGAGTTGTAGAGGTCTTATTTCCTCTTTCACTACTTCCCCTCTTGGCTTTGCTTTTGTGCTGATTTACTTTGGATTTTTATTGGTTCAACAGAAGAGAAAAAGAAGGGAGGTTGATGATTAGAATGAGTGATTTTAGAGAGAAAAAGTAGGTTAAGAATTGGAGATGGAAAAAAAAATTTGGGTCTGAGATTTTGATATGGTGAATTGGAGAGAAACAACAATCATTTTTTTTCTCTTTTTTTTTGAGAAGATAGAGAAGTTGGGTTTTTTTTTTGAAGAACCATGGAGATGACAACACAGAAGTTCCTCCTTTGATAGTTTTTTTTGTGTGATTTCAACGAGGGTTTTTTTTCTTTTTTTCATTCGAATGGAGAAGTTGATTTGAGGATAAAGAAGAAAAAGAAAATAGAGGTGAATAGGGTGAAGCCGCCGTCGCCGGAATTACCGGCGGCGGCGGCGGGAGCAAAGAACTCTTTTAGGTCACCAAGAGCGGTGGCTCCGATACCATGTTGAAATATTAGAATAATAATATTGCTCCTTTGAATTATGGGGTACATGATAGAGTATATATAGAAGAGACTCCTAATACAACTAGGAATAGAGAATAGAGACTAACTAAAATACAACTTCTACCATAACTAGGAATACTTAATATTATTGTCTAACAGAGGCGAAAGAACCAAGATCACCTTCAGCCAGACTAGTACAATTCTGAATAGTCTTGTCTTTTATTTGATATATGATGTTTTTCAAGCACCACCTTTCTTCTTAGAGGTAGACGAGCCAATTCCTTTTGTTATGGTCGTCTTTGGAAACCTCCAAATCGTAGGTGGGTGCAGTGCCATCAAGGCAGCTTGCACCTTCAGCTTTGGCACTCTCAAGAATATGGTGCTTGGAGGAGATAGTGGGTTGATGAAGGGAGAAAACGAACAAGAAACAGATCATGCTCTTGGAAGAAGTCATATGGTATATAGTATTAGAAAGGATGAGCCCCATCCCCGAGGGCCCCCTCAGACCCGACCGGACGGTTACTGAGATGAGGTAATTTAGATTTTAATAGATTAATGACAAAGAGTGGAGCATGCACCTGGTACTTGCAGAGGCCATATGCTTAGCATAGTTGTCTCCCAATGCAGTTTCCAAGAATCGAACTTGGATCCTACCCCTTTGGCATTCCTTATCTTGCCAACTGTGCAACACCCATCGACATTAGAGCTGGACACGGTACCGGTTCGGTACCGTCACCAGGAACGGTACCGCCGATACCAAGCACCGTACCGTCGACCGGGACGGCCAACCGGTTTCCGGGAACCGGTACCAGTACCGCCACATCCGGTCCCGATTCCGGTGCGCAAATTCATTACCGGCACCGCCAGTACCGGTCCCGGTTCTGATACCGGTTTTTTTTTTTTTGATCGTCTTTTCCTTCCAACGGAACCTGCACAGTGCACCTGCAAAAAAACAGAGCCAGTGGGGGGGGGGCACAAACGGCTATTGTGCCGTTAGAGAGGTGAGGGGAGGGGCCAGGGGGAGGGTGGGGAGGGGAGGGGAGAGGGTTAATTTTTTTATAAATACCTAAAAATTTTTCTAAAAAAATCACACTCAACTCAATCCATCTCTCAATCTATCATTCATTCATTCTTATCAATCTCTCAATTCTCAAATCCCAAATTCTCAATTTCTCAATCTTAATATCTTATTATCTCTTTTATACATTCTTTTTTAAAAATATTATATTTTAATATATAAAATTTCGAAATTATTTGAAATTTTTGAAATTTAATATTTCTTTAATATCAAAAAATATATAATTTATATTTTAAATATATTCTCTATTATTTTTTGAAATTTTCGAAATTTTAATATATAAATTATAAAATTTCGAATTTTTTTTAAATTCTCGAAATTTAATATATTATTTTTTTATATCAAAAAATATATATATTAAAATGTCGAGAGAGTCCGGTAGAAGGTCCGTGGATATGGGCGACGTGAACCGAAGTTTGAGGAAAGGCAAAGCTAAAGCCACCTCCGACGGTTCGACCTCACGCGGATGCGGTTCTCGGGGAAGACACTCTGTCTCTTACTTTCCTACTATCCCCGATCACCTAATCGGGGACGCTATGACGGATGAAGAATTCGACCAGATTTATGTCTCTCCTATGATAGATAAATGGTGTGCTTATTATTTGTACATTCCTGATATTTATAAAATAGGTATTATTTGTGATCCACGCTTTAAGATTGAAAATTTTAAAATTTTAATTGAGTATTACTACAGTTGTTTTTTAAATGAAAATAGTTATTACTACAGTCATTTAATAGAATGGAAAAAAGAAAGAGATAATGCTGTAACTTTTTTTGAGAATTTGTTTGAGGAATATCAAGGGTTATACGACACTGTACAAGAAGAAACAGCACCACCTCCGCCCCCGAAATCAAAAAAAGGTTTTGCCGGAATAGTCGGTGGTCTTCTTGCAAAGAAAGGGAAGCGTGCTCATTCTTCGACGAGTTCAAGTGGTACAACAGTAAGCTCGCACAACGAACTTGCTATGTACCAGGGTGTGCCATGCGATTACGATGACGACGACGTGGATTTTGACGTGCTCGGATGGTGGAAGCGGAACGAACACATGTTCCCATGTCTCGGCATGCTAGCAAGACAAGTGTTATCCGTTCCGGTATCAACCGTAGCAGTTGAACGAGAATTCAGTGCTGGCGGCAACATTCTAACCGACTTTCGAAGTTGTCTTAGCGCTGAATCTCTTGAAACACTGGTTTGCAACCAAGATTGGCTCTTGGCAAGACGTCGAGCTCAAGAGTCATCGTACCAACTCGAATCGGAGCATTACATGAATGCAACAACAGATGGAAGTCCGAGTTCTGAAGAATAAGTTATAATTTTTTTTATGTTAATGTAAATATGTAATTAGTTTTTTTTTAGGTGAGCGATATATAAGCTCCTTCGAGGGTTTCTTTACGGTTCTTTACCTCGTCGCTTTTTTTGAACCGTCAGGATATTAAATGTGATTGTTCTTCAGTTTGTGTATTATTCATTAAAAATATTTAAATAACAACTACATTTTTAGTTTTTTTATTTCATTCTTTCCTTAAACAATTGCAAATTTACAATTTTATACTTTAAAAATTTTAAAAAAAGCCAAAAAAAAAGGGGGGGGGGGGGCGAAACCGGTTGGTCCGGGAACCGGTACCGGCCGGCACGGTGACGGTTCCGGTGACATGGGGTGGCGGTACCGGAACCGTACCGTGTCCACCCCTAATCGACATATTGTAGAGTATTAGATAGATATGGATGGAGATTGGGAAGAAAGTGGTAGTAATTCAATAAGCTCTCTCAGCTTTCCTGAATTCTCTGGTGTATAGGATCATTAATTAAGCTAGCATAGGAAATGAATAGAACACCATGTTCGTACTACGTGCTTAGGCATAGTCACTTGCAATCTTTAGTTGCCCATGCCCCACCTGATACCCCCCACACTCTATGTTGCACGTACACTTAGACATCACCCTTCACCCTTCATCTCAATGCATAAAACAAAATTTGTACCTTATTTGTACACTAAAGATATGTGCCAATATTTTAATGGTTCAGACTGACATAATGTATTGGTGCGTTAATAAAAATTTACACTGACACAAAGTATTGGTGCATTAACAAAAATTAGCATTACATCAACAAAAAATGTTGATGCTTTCTTGCGGTGTACAAAATATTGTACAAATTATTAGGGCACAAATAGCATTATCCAACAAAAAAATGAAGGATTAGTTCGTTATTCTCAGTTGATCGTGGGCCTGGTCTAGTTTTGCGGCGACTTATTAACGATTCTATTGTCACATCTTGCTTTGTAGAATTTTTTACATAGTTTTTTAAATCGTAAGATTTTATCTCGTAATTTCTAATTTGTAATCAAAATTGAGACGAATGGAATATCTTATTTTTTCTCTCTTAGAGCAATGGAAATTCTCGTGACGCCGGGGGGGCATCGGGCGTTTAACGCCCCATCGGTATTAAACACCGCCCCCCTTCGGGCTTCATCTCGGCGTCATCCCCCTACGTTAAACGTTTAACGTGCAAGTGTGCAT